TCGTCCATCGCGAAACTAAGGTAGAACTGAATTGCGGAATATATCGTAACAACGATCGATGGAAAACATCAAATATATCTTTCTTCTTCCTTTCTGTGCGGACTCGTTTCTGAAAATTCTTTCCGGTTAAAATTGTTTCACCATTGTGAGCTCGAGTAGAAGTAACGGAGGACGGCTAGAATGTAACAGAAGTTTATGGACACCGGAAGTTCATGCTTATTCACTGAGCACCGAAAGGGCGACCGGGTATAATTTACGTATAAATTAAGCCGAATGAATCAACGGCAGACGATTAATCGCAGCGGCTTGCCGGTGATAATAACAATGCCCGGCTTGTTTACGAGCGGTGAACGAATATATTAGCTTTTTCATTATACCGCCACGTGGACGTGGCCGTGTCTGTCATGTCTGCCTTTTGCCCGCGATGCCTGGCTTCTCCTGGTACAAACAATCGGTTGTTGCTTTCACGTTTCCACGTATGTGTGTTTCGTGAGCACAGAAACTATCAAACTGCCAAAACGGAACTAGAAAAACTGCCAACAGTTGCGTATTACACGCTGTTTCAGTAACAGTGACTCCAACTGAAAAGAAGCTGAAGCAATTTGAGAAACATCACCGGAATTTCAATCGATTCGCCGAAAATATGGTTCTCACGATGCACCCTGGTCGATGATACGCACTTGAGAAGGGAGGAAAAACTGACAACGTGGTATAGAGGGTGGATCGCACGAAGTAAACAGGCCGTGAAATTACCTTTTAAATATTAGATTATGATTAAATGTGTACCTACCTCGAAGGCACTAAATGTTCACCACCGGTGCCCGCCCCCGCAGCCAGTTCATAAAGCTGGCGATGGGGATGGTTTATGGTGGATGAGACTCGAACCACCCTCTCAAGAGCTATATCGCGATATCAATCAGCTCTCGGCATCAGATAAGATTCGCTGCTCAGGAAGCTGAGTGCTTTTCAAAACGTGGACGAGGTTTTCTTTTTTCGTATCCTCGTGGACCATCAGCCTTCGGGAGGCCGAGAGAGAGAGAGAGGATGAATCGACCCTTGTTAAAATGGCAACTGATCATCTTTTTCGCTGAACGATCCCCGCATCTGCGTTCATTCACGTCCTGCGTATATATTATCAACGTACGAAGATGTAGTGCTCGTGAAACCGCACGATAAGACCGTACGAAATGGGATTTGCATAAATACCAAACGATGAAGCGAAAGTTTGCCAACGTTGCAGGTTGTTGTAATCGTCATCAGGTGCGAGATATCACCGACATTGTCGACTTTTGTCCACGGCTAATTGGCATCGTTAATTCACCGTGCATCATAAACGCTCGCGGTAGCACCTTTGGCAATAAATATTCCGACCTCCCCCGTTAGAATTTAAAGGGCCCTTCATACGTGGTCGACGAAGACCGGCGGGACGCGGCAGAGGCGAGCATGATGGGCAGGTGTTTATATCCGGCCGGTGTTGCATGCGTGTGCATACATATGCATACATATGCATAAAAAGAAGAATGCCCAGTGGGCATTCTACGCCCACGCTCTGCGTCGCTCGTCCCTTCTCTTTCTCGTTGCTGTCCGGCCGCCTGTCGAAAACCTTCCGTCGCCATAAGCATATGCATTGCTCACTTAGCAAGATTGATATAACCCGATATATATCTGCTATGGCCCGGCGATAAACGCGCACGGACGTTGAACGCTTGCCGTGTGTGGGTGCACGTGTGTACACGCGTGGGTGAATCCGTGTGTTGGTGCGTGCGTGTGCATCCGCAATTACGCGCAAGACGGAATACAGCGAAGAATAATTAATGCAAACGAGCTCGAGCCGGGGAAATTTCGGTTCGACGAGGCGCACCCGCTGCGAAGGTGAGAAGTGGAATACTTCTAGAGGAGAGGGCAGAGAAAAAAGGGGGGAAGAAGGAAGGAAGGACAGAAAGAAAACGAGAGAGAGAGAGAGAGAGAGAGAGAGGGAGAGGGGGAGAGGTAGAAAGAAACGCGCAGAGAAAATATTTACGGGCCAAGGCACGAGCTCATAATGCTCGCCCTCGAGATAAGGAAATTATTCGCGGACAAGTTGCTACGGGCATGTTAAGGATACGATATCGATCTGACCAGGCGGGTTGCAGCAGAAAAATATCTTTTCGCTGTTGTTGCTACCTGTCAGTTTGGCTTCGTGATTGTCTATCTGCGAGAGTAAAGACGGCCCCCGTGCATCTGTTAAACGGGTTTTATTCGAGACGGGTTTGTTGTTTCGAGGGTTCGCGGAACGCTTATTTCGCTGTCGCTTTTCAACGCTTATTTCGTGAGCGGTGCACGTGAATCAAGCTAAACCAGAGATTTCCCGACGTGTTCAAGCGATGGAATTTATTTCGCGTACTTTCTGGAAACGCTACCGCTATCCCGTTTGTCGGAGCAATTCGTTTTTCGATAGAGCAGATATCAAGTTCGTATCAACGAACAAATGAAAGATAGGACACGGTAAATTTTCTTTATCTACAAGGTATTTCGTGTTTCCTCGAATATTGGCCAACAAGTAGCTTTCGCTCGAGTCCCCATGTCAGCGTCCCGTTTAACGGCGACGAGAACTTGCAAGTCTCCGGGGAGAGTTTGCCGACTAAAACCAACCCCTACTGACGATTCGAGGGGTTGCGCCACAATACAAGCAATAACACGTACCGCCCTCCCCCTCCCCTTCTTACAACGTCGTTCCCCGTCGCCCCGTTGCACGCACCCTCTCTTACCTTAATCGACGAAGGATGATTTGGTCTTAAATAAACTTCTCACCTCCATCGACGTAGACCACATCCCCCTTCCGCGACCCTACCAGTCGTTTATCACATAAATCCTCGAGTGGTCACTTTGATTATGGGCTCACCAACCCCGTATCTTTCTTTATCCACTTCCTCCTCCTCCTCCTCCTCCTCCTCCTCCTTACAAATTTCGAATTGAATTCGATTACACAGCAAAGACCGCTCGATTCTCCTTCTCCTTCTCCAGATTTCTGCTCGACTCTCGGTAGCCGAGATCGTTATTCCGTCTCTTCGGTTTAATTATTGCCCGAAAGATGAGAAAATAATTATTTACTACTACTAAACGGATAACACTGCCAGAAACAATAGAGTCAATAATGTCACGTCTATAATTCACCATTTTTTCTTTTTGACATTTCCCAGACGTGTGAGCTTTCCCAAAGCTCAGCTGGTCAACTTCCTTTCAATTAGCAAGCGACGCTGCAAAATTAATCTGGCAAAGGCAGATCCTGAAGGGAGACGAAATTAGAGCGATCTCGAGTTCCGTGTGCACACCTTTGCGGCCAGCCGTGGCCAAAGACGGAGCGTAAAGGCGAACAAAGGATCGATCGAAAGACGAGCGTTGCGGTACGAGGCGAGACGGTATTATTCATCAGCGAGCGGAAACGCCTGGAAGGTAGTAGACCTACATCCGGCCACGTGCCTCTACTCCGATGGACCAATGAGATTCGTGACACGAAGAGAAGAAACCAATCTCGTGGTCGATCGAGCCGAAAGTCCAGACGAAGCGTCGGCACGCGCCAAAACCACCGAATTATTCAAATGGAATTCACAAAACGAGCCAGCTGCTTCGAGCTGGATCAAAATTGGGGGAGTGGGTCGTACGAGCGACACTTTTTATGAGTCGTATGCCTCTTACCTCCCTCTTCGTTCATCTCGTTCTCGATTTCTACTGCCTCGCTCTATCATACAGCGTTGGATTCCTTTCGTTGCTACGAAATATTCCAGAATCACACAGAAATCACACACAGGAGTTGAAGTTCACAATTAAACCGTGCGTGTTCACGTGTAAATTTACATTTACACGTTTACGAGTACGGATAAAGAGACGAGGCCTACGCAAAGATTAAAAATAACAAGCACGTGCTGATTGGAATATTTCACATATTTTACACATGGTTGCGAGTTACGTGTATTTTTTGAATTTTCCATAAATGCTCGGCAGTTCGCTTGAAACGAATTAATGGAAAGAGATTTAAACGAATCACCTCGGACAAAGAGGCGTGTTCGCCTCGATTGCTTTTCGACCACGCATGGGAAGCACTTTTTATTTCGACGTTGAACGAGAGAGTTCCCCTTTCCCCCTTCGCCGGATCCCCGAGAAGCGAAGAAAAGCCAAGGATCGTTTCGCGAGTAAATATAACAGACCGTTCGATGCTGTGTGTCTTTTCCAATTTTTCTGAGTAAACCATTTCCGCGAGGGTTTCCCCCTTATCGTTCTCCTTGGTGTTTGAACGTTCGAAAGGAGACGCCGCAGAGACGGCGAGAGAGACAGGAGAGGGCAGAAAGCGAATTGCGACATTTAATGCGTAATATCCTATATAATCTTGTATGAAAAGCTTCGCGTTATGGTTCACGATAGAATAAAAGCGAGAGCGAGAGTGAGAGAGAGAGAGAGAGAAAGAAGGAGATAGAGACAGGAACAGAGGAAGAGGGTGGTTTCTCGAGGGTGGCCAAGAGACGGTTAAAGGCATTGAGCCGTCCAAGCCACTCGCGAGAATTCTGAACTCTCTGCTTCTGCGTCCTCCGCTAGAAACCCTCGGGGGTTGGGGGTGGCAGATGGCAGCCGTCGGACTAGTTCTTTCCAACACTTTAACCCGTCAGAATCGGAAGACACTTAACCCCTGGAAGGGGACGTGTGCGATCGACGATCGTCGTAAGACGTCTTTCACGCAACTTTTTCTCCGTTGAGTCATTTTTAAGATATCTGACGTTATTATCAGCGATATTGATATCTGAAGATTTTCTTTGACAAAATCTAGCGAAATCATAGATTTCGCCTATGGTTGAAACGCTAATCAAATTTTGGGGAAATTTTTTCACAGAACTAAAGGGATTGTAGGGATCTTGCAACACGCAACAGGCATCTTATCGACAACGATATGCGGGTTTAGCGCATTCATCATTTGTTCCGTCATTTTGCGTTTTACGTACTTGCAGAGTGAAGTAAGAGTTAAATAAACAACGTCGATGAATTTCTGATAGAGCAAAGTCGCGTATAATGGGCGGTAGTACTCGATCAAGTTGGAGGCGATGGGAGAAGTTCATAATTTCGTAGACGGGAAAGGGACGATGATAGAAACGGAGGGACGAGTGATTGAGACACGCGGTAAGACAGGTTGAATCGAAGCTACTCCAATCGCGGGAAGGTCTCAGTAATCGATTCGAGTAGCGAGGAAGTGCGGTTTCGAGGGGCTTCGAATGGTGGTTCGTCCGGTCAGGAGTGTGTTGTTGGCGGATTTGACGTGCTTATCAATGGATCACAGATGTAATAGGCTGCACGCACCCCAAATCGAGCACATAACTGATATCTGATAAGGAACCAATAGCCGTGACGGGATTTGCGTGTGACTATTCATGCCTTAGCCCCCTTTACTCGACTTGCCGGTTCGTTCTCGTGCCGTAGGAAATTTATTTCGCGATTTCGAGAAACACGGCATGGGTGAACTTCCTTGTACCTCGATCCTTGTACGTCGTTCCCCCGAACTACGAGATACACACCTCGTGTTTCGTTTCGATTCAATCCTCCTATTCAAAAATTCACAGTTTCGTCGATGAAAACTTGGACTTCTTCCCAGATTTTTCTTTCCCCTTCGGTGTGGTTTTTCTCCCTGTGCAAATCAATAGTTTTACGTCCAAAAATGTTTGCAAACAGTTCCACTTTTTAACGGGAGCAAATTTCGAAACAATGGTCACTGATGAAATTGAAAGAGAATAAAGCCAAGGATGAGGAAAGTTAAGAAAGATCAGAAGAGGTTGAACGAAAGGTTCAACCGATAGTTTGGCGTCTGAAAAGGAGGCGTGCTCCGTCATCTGGCGTTTCGTTCCCGTCAAAAGAAAATACGATACCGCGGAGGTTGATCATTTTAAAGGTAGACTATAGACTCGTCATCCGGCCGGGCACGCGCCACTCGACGAGACTCCCTCATTCACCATCCGATGATTCTTGAAGACGTGGATAAGTATGTCGTGTACGAGGCAAATGGCACGCAAGACTTCCGGTGCCACCCCTATCCGTCCTTGCAGTATCCCCTTCTGGTGTCGAGTTTGGTCCATTCTTCCTTCGAAAATCGTGATCGCGATTCAATAGCGCGAGCGGAAGCGGCGGAAGGGCGCTCGCAAACGTACGCCAACGTTTTTGTGCGCGCAGCGTGCCTTACGAGAAAACCTCTTTTGTAATGCACATTGTCTAGGGAAGTGGGAGGAAACGACTGGGGAATTAAGAGCAGAAAAACAGAACTACTGCGAGACCCGTGAGTACGATAGGGAACTGATTCCTTTTTAAAGAGCCTTCGCGATACAACGTTTGAAGATTATAATTTTCGAGACATCGGGAAAAGGCTGGAAGGAAACAACTACTTTTCCATTTGTCTCGTTTGAGATGTCTTGAGAGCGGATTGAAAATCACAATGACGTAAATCAAGAGTTTGAGAATTCGTTACTTTCACAGTTAATTAAATCAATGCGATTCTATTCTAACTTGAAAAAGATACAACGATATTTCTGTAATAACAAATGCAGAGCATTTTATTTTATGAAAATCAGCACCACTATGATTCTCAGCTTCTTACTCCAGTTCTCGGCGCGTTCGGTTAAAAAGATCCTTGCAAAGTCGGTATGCGTTTGCGGACGGCAGGAAGCCGAACGATCATAGCCTCAAGCGGGTCGATAATAATTTGATTTCCTCCATTGCGAGAGCGAACGCGATTCCCATCGCGTCCGTGGAGTTTCTCGACAAAACGAGCGCAACGCAAACAGCCTGTGGGGTGGCTGAATAGGCCGCGAAGTGACAATGGCGGTACCAATTGTTTTCCTGACTTTTATCCCACTTATTATTCCGTGAGACTATTATGATCGTCGTTGGCGATCGTCATTATGTTTGACGAAGGCCGACGATCTCAAGTTACGCGGGCATTGTCAGCGGGGTGCAGCAACGACGCCGAAAATGCGAAATGAACGCGCACAGACGGCGAATCGAAGCGCCCGCTGTGGCGGTCGTGAACTCACGTAGCCAAACGGCACGTGTGCACTTCTATACCTAATGCACGACCTCCTGCGTGCTTGTTTTTCGATAAACCAATGGCCTATAAACCGTGAAGATCGAACGAATTATCCCGATAAAATTAATTTCGCCCTCTCTCTCTCTCGAATTAATTTCACTCACGACGCGATTTCGAGGTGATAATGAATTTCTCTGCTGATAAAAAGCATTGCTGAAGTCAGAGTAACGATAAAAATTTGCAAAAGGAGAACTATCGTCATTAATTGACAAAGCGTTGACAGTGAAAGAGGATAACCAGAATTGAGGCTAAAGGCAGAAACGAGAAGGACGAATCGGTGATAACGAGGTGTTCCAACCGGGAGTTGAAACGCCACGGGGCGAGGGGTAACAAACCCCCGTAGACTGCGCAGCTGTGAACCCCCCGCCAATCCTGCTCGACTCGACGATACGTCGAACTACGTGAATTCGAGATGCATCGAGCCCAGCGGGACTCGTTGCCATTTTGGAAAACCCGTATTCATACGGCCACGCACGTGGGCACCAATTTTTTTTCGACCCTTGTACGCTTGCTCATACGCAGGGCTCTCTGGAATCACTTCGTTTTCGTTTTAAACAATGCGCCTTTTGTCGTCCGCGCTTCGCGTTTTCCCACTGAAATTTCCTGCCCCTCTGCCAACTCTGCTTCTATCTTCCTTTCAAGATGAGAATTCAATCGAGATCTCAATGATAATAACAATAATAATTCCAGAAGTCTGCACGCGTGTTGCCGCAATTGTATTCCAGAAGTTCCACTTCAAACAAATTTCAAACGCGATCAGATAGTCGCGATGCACGGAAGGTAATTTCCAGGTATCGTCGGCATATGTCGTTTTGGAAACGACACGGTGCAACACAGTGTTGGTTCGACGGATAGAATTAAACTTGCCGGAACGGACGTCAAAGTTTCTTAAAATTAAGCGATTCCCCCGTGCACACGTTTCGAGAGCAGTCGAGGAGCAAAGTAAACGGTGCACAACTGAGCGACTTAATTCAGGATACACCGCGCGGCGGAATATAACACCGGGGATACCCGGGTGATTCGTGCGAGGCGACTCGCAATTTATTCCTCTCTCTCTCTCTCTCTCTCTTCGTTTCTGCCACCGCCACTCTCCAATTAACTTTAAATCACCCTCTCCGCGAATCCTCTCCTCATAACGCGAAACTTCGAAATCAGGAGTCATGGTGCGCGTTTAAATTCTCCCCGGCAGAGAAAGAATGCACGTGATCGTTTTCGTTCCACCCCTGCTGCTCCTACCTACAATTGCGACTCAAATTCCGCTCGGTTTACCAATCGCGACCGAGTGTGAAATTTAGTCATCTAGTTTCTTCTCTTCTTACCACTGTCTATCGTGCACTCGATCTACATTTTTACCATCTTGAGCGAAAGATAAACGAAGATGCGGCAAGAAAAGTGGTTTCTACCGAGGAAATCGTCCCTTTGCGAGCCGGCTAATTTTCGAATCGGCTTACGCGACACACTCGGGTGTACGAAGTAGAAAGGGCGGGTTTGTGGCCAAGTTATGGGATAGAGGATGGCCAAGTGGGTGTGTATTGTGCCTCCTGTCAGCCTCAGTCGAGCTTTCGTTACCCCAAATGCTAATTATATGTCAACGGTTTACGCGCCATATCACGGAAGAACGAGTGTCACGGATGGAACAATGAGGGTGACTCGGGCTAATGGTCCTCTTCCGCACCAAAGACGTCGTCCGGACCTTGAGACGTTCTAATAAAAATTACACAGTGTCTGGAAGCTTTTCGCGCCGAGAACTGCGTCGTTTCTTTCGCGTTAAATCGTACAAAAGAACAGCTTTCAATTCGATGGGAAACGTGCGTCTCTCTTTTGTTTCCAATCTGGTGCTTCGTTTTCTCTTTTTCTGTTTTGTGGGGAAGCTAGACGCGTAGAAGTGTGACACATTTTTTTCAGTTATCATTCGTAGTCGAGCAGCGATAGTAATAAAGTTAAGCGACAAAATTCGTTCGGGCCAGTTTATTTAACCTTATCGCTGGTTAAGGGAAGAGAGCGATAGGCGTGTGACCTCATGAGCAGGTATTATTCGCAGAAGGACTTGCTGATTGATGCACTCTGTACACGCAAAACTGCTATCCGCCCATTTTCACCCCTTCCGAGTTGGAATGTTCATATTGAGGAGTCCCGCCGGCTCGAGTCATCCTTGCTTACCTGGTTTCTTAATCAACCGATTTCATCTTGATAAACGTGCCGATTTTTAAACCTACGTTGCATTTTTATGCGTGTAACTTCATACGTCAACTACGAACAAACGACATTTTTATCACGTCGAATTTTCAATCAAAGGACAGTTCGTTGCAAACTGAGATGATTATCGTCGTGGCGGGGACAAACGAGGAAGCAAGTGGAATAAGAAAATGAAAGGTTGATCGTCGGCAGGGTAGGAGAGGAGATAATTAATGGGTCGACAACGGGGCGGGTAAATTTGCAAAGCCATTTCAAGTTCCTCCGAGCTCCTTCAACTTTCTTCAGGTTCCAGCGATTCGCCCGTCGTCGTTTGATAGTTTACTGTAGGCGATTGAATTCTTCGGACGATTTGTAATCGCATCGGTAAACTTTGTACATTTAACGCCAACCTCACCTGGAAATAGGGATGGAAATAGTAACGTGGGCGAGTGTGCTACCGTGTTCATCGAGTGGCTCACGAAAGCCGGGTATCGTTTCAACCCTCCTATCGACCACGCGAGCGTCCTTCTCGCGCGTTCCGAAAATTCTTCGCTGGTGCCCAGCACGTCGACAAACGTATAAACAACCCCCTAAATCATTCCTATCGGTCTTCGCGTCGTTTCTGAGATATTTAGAAGACATTTAAAAAACATTCGGGATATCAGGGGATAAAGAGAAGAAGAGATTCGTGACAGGACAAGAGAAAGAAAGAACTGAAAAATTAGCAAATTTTCCGTAAATTGTCGTAGACATCGAGTGGGAATCGAGCAAGAAGGAAACAAAATGGTCCCAGAGTAGGGTCGGCCATGCTTCAGTCGATATTGAGGCAAATTGGCAGAATTGTCGGCTGCCGCAAGGAGCAATACTGATTACCTCGACCGCTCGTTAAGTACTGTAACAATACTAACCCCCACTACATTCCATACGACTCTCCCCTCTCGTGTCACTTTTCCAAGGGTGATAAATCCGTTGGCCAATCCTGTCGCCTCGATCCCCACCGTTTTCCTCGGTATTTTGCGTCTTCTTCTCACCCCCGGTTCGACCGCGACGGGTCGACAAAACGGCAAGTGACGATAAGCCAGAGAAGAGCGAGAGAAAAAGAGATATGCCGACGAGTATCTCTCTGCCTTTGTGGAACGTGACGGACAAGGAAAGAGCCAGTGTGACACGTTCAGCGAAAGAGAGAGAAAGAGGGTACATTTGAATCGCAAAAGCGGGAACATGGTGTAAAGAAGAAGCAAAAGGAGAAGAAGAGCGCAAGAGAGAAAGTAACGCAAACGGTGAGAAGGGGGATGGAAAAGACAAGCGAGGCAAACGCAGGCAGAGGAAAAAGTGCAAAGAGAGCAGACGGCAAAGTAAGTAACCCGTCCATTATGACAGAGAGAAGGTCGAAGGCTGTGAGAGAAGACGTTCGAGAGAAACTTTATAGAAAGCAGTGGAGGAACAGGGGGTAGAAATCGAAGTAAGCGCGTAAGTAAGGTAGTAAGGGGGAGTTGGAGTCGAAGCTCGCGTTTGCAAGCACTCGAAGGCACATAATCATATCCTTTGTCATTTACGTCGACAGTTGCTCGGCTCCATGGCGATGTAGTCGACGTCTACGGTTTTCTATAGGTCATAGGGGCGTTTCGGGGGTGCGCGAGGAGATCGTTTCCCTTCTCGAGTCTCGCTTCTCACACCGGCCTTGCTTTTCCGCTCCTTGCTCCCCGGTTATTAGGGCTGCCTTTCGCCGTGGGACAATCGAAAGGTACCGGCTAATGGGCGGAGCTTTTGGGCAGGACCACTGCGTCATATTCCACCCTATCGACGGGGGTTCGGTATTTCCATCGTTTCTGGAAGCATGCATTTTTCATCGTGGTTAAGCACCACCGTTCACTCTCACCCTGACGTCGGAAATTTTCGCCTCGTATTACGCTCGTTGCATTTCCATTTTTCGAATCGATCTTTCATCGCCTAAGATTCGCGTTGAACTTTTTCGGTTATACGCGGAATTGCCTTTTCTCTTCTCTAGAGAGAGAGAGAGAGAGAAAGAGAGAGAGAGAGGGCGGAATTTCGGTGAGACAGAAACGAGTGTTTTACGAAGCTACCAGCCAGCAGTCCTATCCAATTCTAACCGTCATTCCAAGTCCAAACATAACGCTATTCTACGGAGCAAACATTTCTACTTTTCGACGTGCAAACCTTTCCGTGATACCTCGGGGAAGCTTGCTCTTCAACTGTGCTGACCATTTCGCGACTCATTCAACCCCGCCATTCATTTCCCCTTTTTCATGTTGCACATGCTTAATGGCTACCTGTATATTCATGCTGTTTTGCGCGCGAATCAACATTCAAATTGCGTATGCATACGTGATTATATCGAACGATATCGTTGCACGCACGCTCCCCCCCTCCCCCCCTCCCCCGATGATTTACGATTTTTCCAATGATCGATCCTTTTCCGTCGTTTGGGAATTCGTTCGGAACAAGAAGAAAGGAGAGTGACAGGTCGACGACGTTTAACAAAAAAACGTTTAGACGAAGTAGACGAAGTGCGAAACGGAGCATTCCCTCGTCTCTTGGTTACGTTCGAAGTTTGCCAGCCCCCATCGTTCAATGCGCAGCGTCCTTTTTTTTTTTTTATGTCAACACGAGGGCCAATTGAGTGGATATAATAGCGGTACCACATGTTTCACTCGGATTCGCCGACATGTGGGTTCCGTTCCGCTCGTTCTCTCCGTGTACGTGCACTAAAACACTGACAGACTTCTGCGAAGGGAGGATCGTAGCGGCCACGTAACGACAGTCCTCGAAGTCATCAAATTGATCGCCATGATTTGGCTACTCCCCCATCATACGGCCGCTAAAGCCTCGTATACGTTGCTCATCGTCACGGGAATTGATTCAGTCGATTCGGTCACGACGGATTTTTAAACATTATCTTTCTTTCTTCCGTTTTAGACGTATACGCGAGCTGTGAAATCGTAAGCTGAAAAATCGTCTTGAAATTTGAAAAAGAAAAAAAAAAAAAAAA